AAAACAAGTCGAAATGAATTCCACGCGCCAGGTGTCGGGGCGTCTCAGCTGTGGAGTCAGAGACTCCCGCTGTCCTCTGTTCTCACGTGTAAGAACTCCACAGCTGAAGCGATGCCTCTCTTCACTCTGAGCTGCGTTAACACCGCCCTCCTTCTCCCTCTCCCCCTCAGCGGAGCCCGACGTCCGGCTGAGTTCCACCAAGCCCTCCTCTCAGAAGCACCCCGCCATGCTGATGTGCAGCGCCCTCGGCTTCTACCCCAAACAGATCAAGGTGTCCTGGCTGAGGGACGGGCAGACGGTGACCTCGGACGTGACCTCCACCGAGGAGCTGGCGGACGGAGACTGGTACTACCAGATCCACTCCCACCTGGAGTACACGCCCCGGGCAGGAGAGAGCATCGTGTGCAGGGTGGAGCACAGCAGCTTTGCCACGCCCAAGGAGCTGACCTGGGGTGAGGCCGCGCAGCGCCCCCTGCTGGCCGGGCACGTCCGGGGTCCCCGGGCGGATCTCCTTCAAGTTCGGAGATCAGCTGATCCAAGTCATCCTTAACAGGACGAGGTCACCCTGCGTGTTAGGCGCAGAGCTGGGCTCCCGGGAGACAGAGAATCCGGGAATCGGAGCTGGAAAAAGCTCTTACACTGCATCTTGTAGCGATTAGGACACTTTTCTGGAGTCGCATGCGGAGTTCACAATGAACACAAGTAACATTGTGCACCTTCTTCTGTCTCAAAGACATCCCAGTCCAACCACAAAGCACAGGAGGCACATTGTCAGCTCTGATTTTAATGCAATTAACCAGGCAGTAGTTGTTTACTATCTCCACGATACGATAGTGCGTTTCGAGAAGCCACAGGGGTCAGTGGGTTATCGTGTGAGACTGATCCCATCGGTGTGTGACTGTTGTCACCCTGGTCTTTCAGACCCCTCGATGCCCGAGGCTGACCGGAACAAGATCATCATCGGGGCGTCCGGTCTGGTCCTGGGCCTGGTCATCGCCGCCGCAGGAGGGATCTACTACAAGAAGAAGTCTGGAGGTGAGACCCCCCGGGAC